GATGGACCAATTCCCCTCCCCCATTTCTAGAATGCTTCGTAATTTTTGAACTATCAAGTGCATGTACATATTCTATACAAACAAAAATTTTCAAACATTTCTTTGTGTTGAAAAATTTATGTAATATTTGTTCCTTATCTTCAACATCTTTAAATATGTAATAACTTTCTTGGAGACATTTTATTCGCTGTAATGTATCTTAAATTTATAATATAAATTAAAATTATAAATTGCCTGTGTAACTGATTAATCATACTTCCTGATAATTAAGTTGATTGGCTATGAATTGTGCATTGTCAACAACATAGTTCTCTGCTTGTATTATTTTCTTTCCTCTGTGGATTGTGATGTCACCTGTAAGATAGCTCTTGAAAAAAACCCCAGGCTGTTGAAATTTATATTTGTACTTACTGCATATAATCCATGTAATTTTTTGTAATCCAGTGTTAAAAAGAAATTAAAAAACTTAGCTTGTACATATTGTATAAAAGACCTGTAAATTTTTCTGTTTCAAGAATTTTTCATGTCATTTTTAGTGTGAAATACTGTTTAGTTATTTCATAGTTTCTTCAAGTTTAATAATATTAAAGGACAATTCATCTGTATCTTCTTCCATTTGTAGGTCTTTACTGCAGTGTTTTTTAGTCCAGCAATGGCTATGTTTTAAGCAGGGCATATCAAGAATTTTGAAAACACCGCATGTAATTTTGATGTCATCTTCTGAGAGAGCCATTAAATAAATGCAACACTTAACCCAGGAATCATAACATTTTAAACTACTATCAGTTTTCTCCTTGCTTGTGAAAAGACCTACTGTGAATTTATTTACATTAAATATAATTTTTCATTTGTTGTGTAGCCTTTACTATATGAATGTATTTTCAATAATTTATATGAATAGACTAACTGATGCTTTTTATGTGAGAAAAGCACATTTTTTCATCTATAGAAGTGGCTATAGTGTGAAACTGTTATTACAGATAAAAGGATTTTGGAAGCCAAACTGTTTGGTGGTTTTTGGCACATTATTAAAAACTACATTGCTATTATTTTGTTTGATGAATGTTTTGATGCTGATTACTGAATGGTTGAATGTATGTTCTGTAACTTTTTGCGGAAAGGAGAAAAATCATGTGCCAGTGCTAAAACCAGCAGAGAAAAATTTATTCAAAATAGGATTATCCCAAATATCTTGCATGTTACCTCAGGATGTCTGAAATGTCATTTACATAAATTATAATTCTTTGTAAAATACCCTAGGGAATGCCTAGGCTAGAATAGCATAGCATTACAAAACATTTACTTCTAAGCTAGGAATATCTTGTAAAGCCTAGGCAGCTCACCAAACTCTTAAAACCTTGATTATATCAAAGAAAAGTGCATATATAACCTGACAAGTAGTCGAATGACAATTTGGGGCTCAACCTATATTGATGCAAGGTAATAATATACAAGTACATTAGTCATTTCAGACTAGCTTTAACAGTCTTTCTCAGCAAAGATAGCAATCAAAACGGCATTTATTATATCATTAAAGCTTAAAAATTTTCTTATAAAATATATATGTTTTCATTCATTAAATATATGTTTTATACAGGACTACTTTTTATGAAAGTATCAATATAATAACAGCGTTTAGAATACCTTTATCAATAAAAATATGCTTTAGCCTGTTGCTTGATGCGATAATATATATATCTCAAGACTGTGAGCTTCAGATATTCAGAGTTGGCACTTTTATTACCCAGAGGAAATTCCACTGCTAAAACTGGTCTAAAATGCATTCCATCCATTTGGGTAGATTAGTAAACTTGCAAGTACAATTAAATACTATTAGTACTCGTGTATACGATTAAAGATACCATGAAAACTGAAACTTTCAGAGGAACTGATACAAGTTGGGCTACACCAGAGTACGTGGTCTGATGACCTACTTCTATCAAAAAAGTAGTTTTTCCGAAAGTATCTCCAAGAAGCATATTTGTAAGTGACTATGAAAAAGTCCCAAGATAACTTGTAAATAAATGAAACATCCTGGGCCAAAATATCCTTCAAAAATACATCACAAATTATATCTACATGATTGAGCTGGAGTCCAATCATTTAGAAAAACATTCTCTATATACAAATCATTTACAGAGGTTGCCTATGTGGTTTTCATGAGAGGTTTTTCCGTAAATTATAATGTTCTCTACATATATAATAAAAAAATGAAAACTATACACCACTTTATACAAAAAACATTTAAGATTATAAATCAGTTTGTTTATATCAGCTACATAAAATGTTTTTAAATATGCCAATAAAAATATAAATTATAGCAAAGTGCATAAAAATAAAGTATGTAAAGATCATAATAAGTTACATTAAAAATACAGCAAAAGTACAGAATAGTAGTAAATGATCGTTAGTTTCTTGAATAGTTTACAGTGCACTTAACTGTATAATCAGTTTTATTCTTTTTGACTATCTTAGATATTTTTTACAATATAACTAGGTAATATCTTATGTATAGAAAGAAAATGTGTAGTTATCCAATATGGGAATACAGTATCATAGTACTGATAAATAAAATATGGATCGATGGTAATGTCCGAATATAGCATATGCCACTTCTTGACAACTTACATGACTGAGAATGATATGCTTTGATAAAAGAAAATACAGATATTGAAATAGCATATGCATATCTTGGGAGAATAACACTGCATAATGCACTATAAGCAAAACACAATGCTTGGAGGAATGAAGAAAAAACTGTTACACAAAACAACCAAGATGTCCCATCTAAAATTTTTTGTGATAGTTTTTGATATGTAAAAGTAAAGGGAAAAGAGTTTTTTCTAACATAGACATTTTAATCACTGATACATTCATAAACTAATAAGAAAATCTGATTAGCCACCCAACCCTGAAAAGAATTCACATGATAATGTATTATATTGTCAAAACAGGAAACCCATAAAATTGGTAAAAATGAATTTGATAACCCAGGTATGTGTGCATGTGCAGCATCTTTTACCTTCAGATATAATAGCCATTACTATTTGTTTTGATTGCATTGAATGCAAATTTTTTCCCTTGTAAAGAATTGTAATGAAACCATGGAGTCTGCTGGCTGATGAAAAGGAGAATGTTGCATTCAGCATCAGTATCAGTCATCTGAATACATAAAGGATTATCTTCATTCACTATAGTTTCATCAAGCTCTGGATCATTTTGTTCGCTGCGGAACTTGCAGACTAAATGAATGTGTTCACACATATTAAAGGATTATCTTCATTCAGTATAGTTTCATCAAGCTCTGGATCATTTTGTTCACCGCGGAACTTGCAGACTAAATGAATGTATTTACACATATTCCATTTAACTGCAGAATCAGCACAGATGCAAGTATACCGATAAATACATGAAGAACTTTTCATGCATGCTAATTGACATGTACAAATTTCATTTATTTCTTGAATGGCATATAGTTGCTTTCCACTAGGTTAGGTAACTGTTCAGCTATCTCTTTCTGTTTTCAATATCTCACATTTTAAATTTTCACTTAATTTGTGGCTTTTTTGAATTGCAGCAATTTTTGTTGTTAACTCACCTTTATGCACCAGCAATTTATCAAGTAGTTGATCCCTTACAAACTTCATGATGGCATGGATTGACTTTTCTAACCTTTACTGTGGAGATAAACATACATATAATCCTCTATGCATCCTTTCATTGTGCATATTGGTGTTTAAACCGCAATGCAAACAATAACAGTATGCCCATAGATTAACACTTTTTATGTATTACTAAGAAAAATATGCTGCAAAATCTATAATATTGGAATCATTATGAAATCTTTCCATTGCTTCTTCTAACATTTTTATAAAAGCTGCTGAATCTGTTTCTTCAAGTAGTGGACGAAGAATTTTAAGTAATGTATTCAAGTAGTGGACGAAGGTTGATTTGAATCCATGTTACATATTGGGAATACCATGAAAACAATCATGCTTTACTGTTCGGCTGCCGATCAGCTGCATATCATTTGCAAAGCACTGAATAATAACTAATACGTTCCTTAGTTCTTGTTATGAGTTACATGCAAGGAAGTTCAGTTCTGAGAAGCAAGAAAACAAGTCTTCATAAAAATTAATATGCCAAATTTAAAGTGACTGTGATTTTTATTATTTATTTATTTATTTATTTATTATTATTTTTGTGCAATACATGAATATATATATAAAGTAAAAAAAAAAAAAAAGTCAGCAGAATATAATTTTTTACTAAAAAAAAAATTATGTAATCAGATAGCTGCAATTAAGTTTCTGTTTAAATGAGAATATCTGTTGATTTCATTAATGTGATGATAATTGATTTTTGATCATAGTTTTGGAAGTACTTTAAAATTATGCAATGAAGATATTAATTATAAAATTGGCTTTGTAATTTTATACTTTTACAATTTCTTTAGAAACTGCTCTATTAAAAACAGGAATATTTTGGAATTTTATAATATTGAAAGATTCAAAGGCAGATCGGAATTTTACGCTAAGAAAAAGGGTCATTATTACATGATTATTTTACTTCCGTTAGGCTTTCTGTATTGTTTTCTGTGCTAACTTGAATTCAATACAAATTTATTTTCGTATATCACGTTTAACCGGTTAATTTTGAATTTTCACTTTCATATACTTGATAATATTGTTTTCTCTTACTAACTTGAATTTATGTTACATATTCTTTAATTATTTTGACGTTTACGCGGCTTATTTCCATGCGTTTTAATATCTGATAACCGTACGCCGATCATCCTCTGCGTGGATCAACGGGTTCTTTTCTGAAGACTTGTTAATAATGAGAATTTTACGAAATACAACGTTATGGACTAAAATTCCTTATATTCAAAATCCCTTTTCCTTTCTCCTTTCCCCAGATAAGGGAAAGCAAGGCGGGAAAGAAAACTAGTTATCAAAAGTGATTCTTGGGGTTCGAGACGCTTGGTGTATGAGGTAACTGTACGATGTCGGACTGGTAGGCACAGTCCGATATTGTGCGATAGTTGCGGCTACCAGCAGAAATTTGATTTTAACGTAATAACGATGTAGAGAAATATATTTAGTATATTTTAAGTGTATAGTTGGGGATATGATCTGTTATGACATATTTGATTTGTGATGGTTCGGTACTTTTTTCGTATTAGTTATGTTGGTACTAAATATAGGTATATTATGTTCATATTATTAGTTAAAGGTTTGTTTACCAGGTGTAATCATGATGTTTTAAGAATGTTTTATCTAATTTTTTTTCATGACATTTGCTTTCGATGAGAGATTTTACGTAGCATTTGTGAAAGAAGCATGTTACTGATAAAAGTTATACACCTGAAATATGTTTTCCAGGGGATCTCAGAAAACGCCAGATTTTCCAAATGAAACAATTCAAGGCGTAATAGAGGTACTGTTTATTGTATTTATAGCATCAGTTTAAGTTCGTGATTTTAACTACCTTAAGTGCTTTAAATGTATTTTGTCTTTTTCTTCCTAACTTAAATTGCATATAAAAAACATATTGTAATTGTTGGTAGTAATGATGATAAAAAGGGGAGATTTACTATCACAAAGATCATTATTCTAATTCTTGGCAGTAATGGTGATAAAGATGGAAAGATATACAGTAGAAGTCCACAAAGCCTGGGACCAGAGGTTGTGCAGATTTTAGAATTTTGCAGATTTCAGGACAGAAAAGATAAATCGTAATAGTCAGACTAAAAGTGCAAAATAAATAAGGCGTATTAGATACATTTAATTAAATTATTATATACATAACTGCAATAACTTATTATATCCATTAAATTATTATTACATACGTAAATTGATTATATTATTCATTGTATTATATATACACAGCATCGAGGTTTGCCGATATTGGCTCATGCCAAGATTTCCGGGATTAGAATCCCTGTTGCTGTAAAATTTCAACAGCTTTTTTTTTTATTTTTCCGTATATCATATATAATAGTATCGCAATTCCATGCGATTCCGCTATAAAATGCACCTGTCTCCATCTTTTGCAGAATTTGCACTCTTTGCATTACCGTCAATGCAACGTGTTTACGTTTTTCAACGTTGCAAGCAGTGAAATCATGAGTCCGTTTCTTATTTGTAATTGTATTAAAAAGGGCTGAAATTTAAAATATTCTTAATTTATCCGCAAAATATCCAGATTAAAAAAAGGCAGCACTAAATAATCTCGTGAAATAACAAAGCTCAGAAAATACTACACCGTGAATCGTGAACTTGAAAGAAGAGTTGAGTGAATTGTCTGCTTTCTTACCTCGATGCAGATTAGAGGGGGAGAAAAAACTTTTATCATTATGTCAATAATTTAGTATTTCCGTTATGACTCATTATTATTCGGTAATTATGATGTCATTATTCGGTAAGTATTTTTTCTTCGATATTTCATACTCAATGTTGCCGTTTCCGGAACCTATAAACTGAATGTTTATATTTGAGACAACACGGATTTCGGGAGTTGGCGGATTTTTGGTATTTGACTGTCGGTGACAGTCAAATACCAAAAATCCACAAAGACCACAAAGTCAAATACGACAAAGACTCTGTTGGTGACAGTACATTTTAAACTCGCCAACAGCTAATCAGCAAAGGTTTTTAAACTTGAAAAAAGTGGGCCTGCACTTCACGTGTAATGAAAATCAAAAGTTAAAAATTCATAGATTTTGTAGTATGCTACACTTCGGTCAGAGCTTACAATTGTGTGCCCATTGTTTTTTTGGCGATTCTTTTTTGATGATGGGATTGGTGCCAGGAAGGCACAATTTCAAGATGCCCGCTACCCAAAACCAAAATAAGAAGTCAAAGAATTGCATGAACTCGTTGTCCATGTACAAATTGATCTACTTTCAATTTAAAAAATTCAGAGAATTGCACAAACTAGGCATTGTGCACTCACTGCCTTAGCTTTGTCCATGTAACACATCAAGGTAAAAATATATTTACTGATGCTCCTTGGCAAAAATTGGAGATTTTTGGCGGTACATGGATACCGAGTTTGTGCAGTTCCTTGACTTGTTACTTTGGCTTTGTGTAGCAGCGATTTTTGCACCAAAAATTGCTGCTACACGAAGACAAAATAACAAGTCAAAGAATTGTACAAATTCGGTATCCATGTACACATCGACCTATTTTCACTTAAAAAAACATCAGAGCATTACACAAACTTCGCATTGCGCACTCCCTTGACTTTATCCTTGTACACATTGACCTACTGTCACTTAAAACAAAAATCAGAGAATTGCACAAACTCGGCATTGCACACTCCCTTGATTTTGTCCATGCACACATTGATTTTTCACTTAAAAAGATCAAAGGAGCACCCAATTTCAGAGTAGAGCCAAACAAAAAATACATTTAAAATCAAACAATAAAATAACATGAAACAGGAAATTCAGCTTATGCATCTAAGCACTACACAAAGCAAATATCCACTTACCTTATTTAGAAATTTCTGAGTCCTTTAAATTGTGATATACAAAATTCCTTAACAGCATTCTAAAATTATCTGAACTGGAATCCATGTATCAGCGTCGCTGCATAAATTCACAAAAATGTCCTCTGTAGGGCCAGTATCCTCCGACTTTCAACTATATGCATTTCCTTCCTGCAAACAGGACACTTATAATGGCTACTAAGTAAATCTTTATTTACACACCAGTCAATTAATAACTTTTTTTCCTTTTGTTCCAAATTGTACAGAAATTCAAATTAATCTTACAACATTTAGCTATTCTACCATCTGAATTACAAAACAAGCAATGTACTTCCTAACCAACACACACCATAAGCCTGTACAAATCTTTTTCCCATCATTCAAAATTTACCGCAACATGCAATTGATTACATCATATTAGGGTTTTCATAACATTCAACTACTCTTACCATAAATGAAACAACAACTTTGGGATAATACAAGGGGCACCCTTCAATCTACTCTAACCCACTTTGATTTATTTTCACATAAAAAAAATCTAGAAATTAAAGTTAAAACTATCATGGTTAAAAGTTAAAACTATCATGGTAACCAGAAACGGGGTTTTATCGCCAAAACTGCAAAATAATCAGCATTATTAATCAGGAAGGGAAAAGCTGACAGTCATTATGTCTACATGGAGAGGAGATCCTAAATGAATACCCAAAACATACAGTTTTTAATGTTTCTAAAGTTAAATTGTTGGTAACAAGAGAAAATACGCCAATGCTGAAATCAGTTTGCAAAGTCTTTAAATTCATCTGTAAGAACAGTAAATAAAATAATAATGTCAAGACATGTAGCTCAGTGCAAAATAATTTGTAAAAACCTGAATGAAAACTATTTAGCAGGACATAAACATAAATATGTTGTGACACTTAAAGAAGCTTGAGTTTACCTAAATAGCTGCAGCAAAAAAAAAAAAAAAAAAGTCTATTTATTATCAAAAATGAAGAGGAAAAAATGTGCAAACCTGGTTTTTGTAATGCAAAGAAAGTTTTTGTAATTTTAAGCATGAAACGTGGGTTTGGGGGGGGGAACTAATTAAATAGATTTGTTTTACTCTTGCAAAGAACCTATTAGAGACAGTGCATTTTTTTGTAGTCAAGCTCATCTGTGGCAATAATTTTAACAATATATGGATACAGTTTGCAGTTGGAACATGATATTAAGCATACAGAAGTTAAATTTAGCTTGTAAAATATAATGTTTATTATATAGCATGATATTAGGCATGTGTAAGTCAAATTTAGCTGATTAAACATAATTAATTAAATTCATTTTAGCATAAAAGCATGATATTAGGCATCTGTTAAGTAAAAATTAGCTGGTTAAACATATTTATTATGATTAATTCAAGTTAGCCAAAACAAACATGATATTAAACAAATGTTTAAAAAAATTTCCTGATTAAATATGATATGCAGTCAAAAGTCTTTAATCTGTACTTGTTGGGACTTCGGTGATTCCGGATTATTGGTTTTTCCGAATTATAGATCATCAGTTTAGACCTGGTAAGATGGCATTCAGAAATTCTAAAATTAAAAATATGAAACCGTAATTTATGAAATAAAGAACAATTATGATCTAAAGGGTATCAAAATGTACAAAAAAAAAAAAACTTCATATTTATTTGTTTACTTTATTAAACATTTCTTTCAACGCGCGCATGCATAAAGCGTACATTACGCATAGTCGAAATTAGAAAATTGCAACCAGAAAATTATTTGATGTGTATTCGTGATATTTATAATGACGAGAAATTTGATTTAAATCATATCAAAGACGGAGTACATCAAGATGAAATACTACATTTAGTAAGGAATTATAAGCCGGATAAAATAAAAACATCTGTTCTGAAGATAAGGATAGTGCTGACAGATCAATTTCCTGTTCATTGCGTGCCACGTCGCCTCCTCTCCCAGCAGCGTGAAATTGATAAACGTATTTCGGAATGTTTAGAGAATCAAAGGATATGCCTTTATCCATTTTTTGCAGCAATTCCACTTTTTGTTTGATGGGCATCGACATGCTTTCGCTTTGTAGATCCTTTGGTAGCTCCAGAATAGGAAATTCTTTTTGACATAATCGAAAGTTCAAGCTTACTTTTATAAAATTGCTCTAACAGTCTGCAAAAAATAATAAGCCGGATCCAATTAGAGGATTAAGGAACAACGCAACCTGCAACATTAACTGAAATAGATAATTAGATAATTTTAGCTTAGCTTATACCGTCCTTTATACATTAAATGCGCATGCGTTAACGCATTATGAGTTGACGCATGCGCAGAAAGTTTGTAGCTTTGAGCTCTGGATTATAGATCATTCCAGATTATGGACGTCCGGATTAAAGACTTTTGACTGTACCTAGATATTGAAAATGCATTATCATAATCTTTGTCTGGATATGTAACAAATTATGAAGAAGATTGGTTGGAGTCATGCAAATGCAGACTTTGTATTAAGGATCGGTGGTGTAACTACCATACATTTGTGGGCCCATATATCTGGGATCCATTCTGCAAGATTTACAACCTTTAAAAAAGAGGGGGTGATCAATGGCTTTTAACTTATGATGACTTTTGTCGGGGCTGAATTGGGTAAAAGTATATTTATGGGTATCCCTTTGGCGAAAATTGGTGATTTTTGGTGGTACATGGATACAGAGTTTTTGCAATTCTTTGACTTGTTATTTTGGTTTTGTGTAGTGGCGATTTTAATGCCAAAAAATTGCCGCTACACAAAGACAAAATAACAAGTCAAAAAATGCACAAACTTGGTATCCATGTACACATACATCAATCTATTTTCACTTTAAAAAACATCACAGAATTGCACAAACTAAGCATTGAGCACTCTCTTGACTTGATCCATGTACACGTCGACCTATTTTCACTTAAAAATTCAAAGGAGCACCCAATTCTAGGTAAAAATATATTTACGGAAGATTCAACTACTCAGGTTACCATAAACGAAACAACAACTTTGCGATAATACAAGGGGTACCCTTCAGTCTACTCTAACCCTGAAGCAATTATGAAGAACTATAAGCACGTGCTTATAGTTCTTCATAATATCGGATATCAAGAGGATATTAAGGTGGGAAATGCATACTAGAATTTTTTGCATAAAAAAATTTATGATCATAATTTATAGAATTAATTATTAAATGAAATTCTGTAAGTATTCATGAAAATTAACCAAACTAAAGGAACTTATTCTAATTTCTTCTAAGCTATAGTACATATGCAAGTTATTAAAATATTACATAAACATGAATTATTCGATTAAAAAAATATCTTCTTAGATCTATTAATTTTTTGGACAACCTATAATGTTTTAGGATCTGATTTGTATTAGCTATGCTAATTGTATTCATAAATATCTGGTTGTAATGAAAGTTTTCTGCCAAAAAAATGGTCTTAATAAAGTTAGGAAAAACAACAACAACAAAAACAATAAAAACCATGAGAGCAGTACCTCTGGTGTGGGTAGTAATCATCACCCAAATCTATGATTTTCTGCCAGCATTTTGGTAATTTTTCAAATTCTAATTTGAATTTTGGTAATTCTTCAGCCCAGAAATTTCGTGGCCGCGAGCGCAAAGTCAGATCAACATCATTTCGGATGTCCTGTGCAGAACGGACGATAGCACCAGCAAGATGTAGCTGTAGGTGTGAAAAAAGGTAGAAGTCCAAAGGAGTGATGTCAGAGTTATATGGTGGGGTAAAAGATCCCATTCGAGTACGTACAGAGTCCAACTGATAAATGCAGACACTTTTGTTCTTGCATTATCTTGACAGAAGATTACTTTTTTGCACTGAAACTCGGTTCAGTTTTTTTCCTTGATAGCAGCATTAACACGGACTAGCATTTCACTGAACACCTTACTGTTGAGGGATTTGCCTTTTCCCAGATACTCTTTGTGGATAATACCACGACAACCGCACTAGATACAATGCATGGATCTTCTTGTTAATCAATTTGTGCTTTGTGATGCTGCCGACAGTATTACCGAATGCAGACCATCCCCCTTTTTCAGCCTGTGTTGTTGAAATAAATCCATTTTTCATTCCGAGTGGCAGTCCAATCCAGAATTTTGTCCTTGTGTTGATATTCAAAGTAGATTAATACAGACCCGAACGCGCCTATCCTTATCTGCTTAAGTCAGTTCATGTGGCATCCAGTGATTGAACTTGTATGTCAAATGTACACAATGCATAGCATGCCTGATGGACATGGCACTTATGTCTAACTCCTTAGCTCTTGAGTGAATGTCATAGTCCTTGACGTTTTGCAACAGAACTGGAAGTAAATAATGGTTTTAATCTGGTAAAGTGATAGTTCCATTTCAGACACCTTGTACTTAATGACAATGATATTTTTTTTACAAATTTCACAACACTGTGTTCTAAAGCAAGTCTCTTTCTTTCAATTACCAAAAATCGTTTTACAAAATGTGATTAAACATGCCAGTATGAAACTGTTTGCACACACGATATTTATGCTGGCTGAAAACTTTCATTTAAACTCGATAAAAAAATATTTTGTATGAGTATAAAAAAACTGTTATGGAAGTTGATGTCTTTTGAAATTCATAATATAATAACATTGTGTCTTTTAGTATTTTGTGCTGTGTTTATCATCTGGTTGCTATAGAACATAATAACAGAAAAATTTTGTCTTACAGAGTGCTCTCAAATCTTTAAATCCCAGTAATATCCCTTTGTCATCCTTTGCTAGTCGAACTGATAAAGGTGTTCATGCTCTTGTAAACAGTTTTCACGTGGATTTAGTCCATAGTATTTCTGGAAAAGTCTTCCAGCCATATGTTATTACAAAACATTTAAATTCATACTTGAAGACGAACAATCATGAAATTTTGTAAGTATTCTCTTTTGATTAATATATTTTTCAATGATAAAATTTGCTTCCAACTCTCAAAAGCTGTCAGATTCATTGCAGTTGTAGACATATTACAAAATGGAAAAATTGTTATATATGTTTTTACAATGTTGGATATAATTGGACATAATTTGCACCCTTTTAGGTGTTTATTATAAAAATATAGAAAATAAAGTCTATTTAATATCAGTATAGGTAGAAAGTAAGAGTTAAAGGGTATTTTTTACATCAAGGTGTAATCGTTTCCGATTTAATAATTTTAATGCATTTCTTGATTTAATGTAGATGTTTTATTCCGAAATATAAGAATTGAAAGAGATTTGTTACCGTGTCTTTATTGGATAATGGTTGTACAAGACACAGTATTTAATTAAAGACACTTTATTATATACAAAACACATCATCACTCGCATATATACACCTACTACTAGCATTCTCTGTCTCCATTCTGGTATACAGTAATTCCACGTGCTTGGCGATGCGCCAGCTTTACGTTTTATTATGATTAAGTTCTCGATATGCCACATCATTCCCCTTTTATCACAAGTTCAGTCTATCCTGGGCTTGTAGAATTCTGTGGGACCGATGTGAAGGTTGTGACATAGCTGGTTTCTTTGGTAGACTGGTTGTATCAGCAGCAGGTTCGGTGGATGGAACATCCTGTAAAACCTTGGGCTCAAAAGATGACACAGACTCATCTGCCTGCTGGCTATTTTCTTTGGATGGTTCTTGAATTCCACTCTCATCAGGCTTTTTGGAAATATCGAGAGCTGGGATGGACATATGCAGCCATCATCAATTATGGTTCCTCCATCACACATTTCATTGATATGCCGCCACCATAGCTGATTATCTACTTTTATAGTGCAATGAAGCTGCCCAGCCTCAAATTTGATGGTTCCAAATTTCCATCGTCTGTCACCTTGGCGATAATTTCTTACTGCCACTTTATCGCCAACTCTAAATCCTTGGTCTACAAACTTGTAGGCTTCTTTTCGAACTCTGTCTTCCATCTCCTTTTAAGACCTGGTGTCAATAAATCTATTATTCGAATTTCCCTTTTCAGCATTAGCATTGCAGGGCTCTGTAGAGTAGTTAAATTCAGAGCTTTTCTATATTGCATCAAAAATGTACAGAGTTCCTAAATAATTTTGCATGGTTCTTAAGGATTGCTTTACTGTCAACACACACCATTCAGCCTGCACATCACTAGATGGTTTAAATGGTACTGTAGTTTTGTGTTTGATTCCATTACTTTGTAGAAATATCTGGAACTCAAGTGAAGTGAACTGTGGCCCGTTATCACTCACTAACAATATTGGTAATCTGAATCGTGCAAAAAAGTCCTGTAAACATTTTATTGTTTTGAAAGTCAAGCTTGTTTTGGTTATACAGTACAAAGTCCAAAATCAGGACTCGTCGGGACTTTGGCAATTCTGTATTTGGAATTTTTCCAGATATTAGATCATCAGTTTAAATCTAGTAAGATGGCATGTAGAAATTATAAAATTAAAAATATGAAATCGCAATTTATGAAATAATGAAGTATTTATAAATCTAAAGGCTATTAAAATTTACAATAAAAAAAAGCTTAATGTTTATTTTTTTACCTTATTAAACATTTCTTTCAATGTAAGTAGTTTAAATTGCTCCTTTTTTTTTTTTTTTTTCTTTTTGCTAATACTTTCTCTTTAATTCTGCTGCTGTTTCGAGAATTCCGAGAAATTGTGAATTGAAATTTTCTCGTTTTCAGTAACTTCTCTGTCACTTTCTGCTCTATCGGTAGCGGTATTTTCTGGATCTAGAACCATACAAAAGATTTCGCCATTCATTAATTGGTTGATGATTGAGAAGCATTGTCATCACAATGAAAAACTTCTTTTATATCATCTTCATTTATTACCGCTTCTCCACATTTCTTCATAAAATCCATTAATTGGAAAATTTCACCTTTGTTTTGCGATATCCAAAACCTTTAAAATTAGCGGCTATCATCATCAAATTTAGCTATCCTTCGCTATACATGAAGGATGGCTATGCTTCATGAGCTTGGCAACTAACAACAAGTTGTTCCGGTAAATTTTATCTTGCTTCTATTGCGCACTGAGACAAGCCTAAATTGTATTAGTTTAGTTATTTATTATACTTATGTCTATTTCTTGCACATGCTTAAGGCTTATCAGATTTTTGAATAAATAAATTCCCACATATACTGTATTATAAATATATTCTGAATAAATAAATTCTCACATATACATATTCCCACATATACAAATCATTTTACAAAATGTGATTAAACATGCCAGTATGAAAATATTTGCACAAACGATATTTGTGCTGGCGGAAAACTTTCATTTAAACCCGATAAAAAAATTTTTTATTTATTATTGCCTTATTGAGGGCCGGCGCTGGATATCTTAGTGCCTGATGTAGTTTGTATGGGTCCTAAGCTCTGTGACTCCATACAGCCATAAGAGCCCTGGCACTGGTTCTGGGTTTATGTGACTAACAAATCAGTTATTCTGATTTCAAATAAGCCTAACTGTAATCTTTGGATCTATGAGTATCATCGACAAAATCTATTTTTAGCATATGGAAAGGAATTTTTGGTAAATTTTCCTCATCAACATTTTTTAGCGCATTTAACTTAAATTTCTAATCACCGCCAAGTGTAATGTCAACATAAAAGGTTACCATACTCCTTTATTATTCAATTACTAACATCACCGCCAAGCATAATGTCAACATAAAAGGTTACCATACTCCTTTATTATTCAATTACTAACATAAAAAAAAAAAAAATTATTTAGGCATCACTGCATGAGTCATTACTCAAGTTGTCATGTTTTGATAATCATGCTGTGATGAAAGGAAAGTGTAATAAATAATGACTCGCCAGGTTGGCATCAGATCAACGATGTATCTATATGGAATGTTTCAGTTTCAGATGTGTGCCAAAAAGCAGATATGCAGCAACGGAGCCAAATTACTTATCGTACAAATTTATGCTAAAATGTTTGTTTCTTCAATAACAAGGTATTTTATTTAGTGTCGAAGTGGAGAAAAACGTTGGTGGTTTTGAGGTTCGAATTCCTGCATAATTGATGTGAATACGTTCCATTGGGTTCTAGGAAAATAACCCGCAGAAATAGTGCTCACAGAATAATGCTCACAGGAAAAAAAAGCCCACACAGAAATATGCCCACATAGAAAAATACTCACATGGAAAAATGCTTACTTAGAAATATGCTCACATGGAAAAAAGCTCACATAGATATATGCTCACATGAAAGTAAGCCCACTGATAAATTAAATATGAAGAAATATCCTTACATTAATCAATCAATAATTAATCGATTTTGAACATCGTATATTGACTTGAATTTTTTAAAGAAAAATTATTTGGTCATTTAAAAAAATTATTGGACAAATGCTCATATTAACCTTTTCAGGGGCAGTATATAAAAGAATGAAAACTATAGTAAAATTTTGCATGCACTGTAGTATTTTATACCACTGCCCTCTGTATGACATTTTTTCCCCTGTAACTGCCAATAGTTTATTTTTGTTTTTTATTTGCTCTATTTTTGCATACTTTTGATGTTTATCAATAGAAATTCATGTTTGAATGTAGTTATTTAAGTTTGGAGTCAAAAATGTTTTAGAAGACCACAGTTTCTGATTGAAGTGTGGAATCATTATGAAACAGCCTTCGAAAAATCTCCTAAAATGACAAATTATTATGAAAGTTTTCATAAGGTACTAAATTCATTATTTAATTGTAGGCATCCTAGTATATGGTTTTTGTTTGACGGACTGAAAAAAGATTTATTACTAGGTATTGTAAATACAGGGTGTACTGAAGTAAAAAAAAAAAAAAAAAGAAAAAAGAAAATATGAAAACTTACATTTGGTAATCACAAATCATGTATGAAATCCATGATAAAATTAGATATTTACATATATTAGCTAATATTCAGTAAGTTTGTCAAGACATTAGGTATTTTGGAAGCAGGAGATGTGAAAAATGAGCAAAGCCTTCATCAGGAATCGAACCACGGATCTCTGGAATACGCACTCTGCATGCAGACCACCACACCATGAAGGCATGCTAGGAAGGCGGGCGAAATACCTTATATACTCCCCCCTTTGAAAGGGCAACTGGGGATTTTAGGGAACCCAGCCGCCAAATCCTGGGTGTGATAGAATCATTATCTACAACCCTTTTAGTTCGGGTGCCTCTGTAGAGACATTAGGTATTTTGGAAGCAGGAGATATTAAAAATGAGCAAAGCCTTTATCAGAAATCAAACCACGAACCTCTGGAATACGCACCCAGCATGTAGACTACCACGCCATGAAGGAATGCTAAGAAGGCGGGAGAAATACCTTATAAGTTTATGTGAAAAATACATGATTTATATATAACAAGATATTTTACGTAATTTAAATAAAACAATTATTTCTATTTGCTTATTCTTCTAAACGTTTATATTATAAAATGTGTAACTTATACTTATTTTATTTCTTTAACAATTAAAATTGTAATAATTTTTCGGTGTATATGCTGTTTCATTTTTCTTCCTTCCTCCTCTCGTTTTGCTAATTCAAAACATCCCATTTGTTAATCTTATGTAGCAACTAAATCTACACAATAGTTATGCAGTTTTTGATATATATGTATGTATATATACCATAGATATTTTGGTAATTTAAATAATTTTTCTTTGAAAAATTCAAGTTAGTATACGATGTTCAAATCGATTAATTATTGATTGATTAATGTAAGGCTATTTCTACCTATTTTATTTACCCGTGGGCTTATTTCCATATGAGCTTTTCCGTGTCAGCATATTTCTAAGTGAACATTTTTCCATGTGAGCTTTTTTCTATGTGGACTTTTTTCCTGTGGGTATTTTTCTGGTCACCGTTCCATTGGAGTGCTGGTAATGAATCTCTACCTTCGGAGGATCTATTATA